AAACCCTTTCTCTTGTCTCAAGGACCAGTGTACCCTGACACATCTCTGCAACCTGAAATCTATCTTTAGTAAAAATCAGCAGTCTGTGCTTTAATGATTCTGACTCATCACAGTGGTTTACCCCTTCATTTCAAATGAAACCTTGTTGAAAAAGCAGCTGCAGGGCCAGGCTTATTTCATAGAGATGACATTAAAGTGGCTAAAATCACAGTACCGAGGAGCTCCAAGTAAATAGCATGGTTAATTCACTGTGTCTTGTGCAGTTGGTAGAGAAAGGATGGAGATCAGATGTGCCTTAGAGCTGCCTCTTTAGCACTTGCAGTGTGAGGGGTATTGGAAGCCTTAAAATGGGTTAAGGTCACAGTAATTTAAAAAAAAAAAAAAAAAAAAAAAGCCATAAAGTCCCCCCGTTCTGGGGCTACAAATATCTGGGATTGTATAATGGGAAAACAGCCATGTTATTGCAGTTGGGAGCCTTACATCAAAGATATAGCATTCCAAAAATAATAGGAATATGCTGAATGTAAATTTCAAAGCATTTGAAGGATGCCTGCATTGCAACCAGTTTATTTGCATCCCAGAAACGGGGTGAAGCAGCCTGCCCTGCCTCTAGGCTGTTCCTTCCATCTCTTGCTTCTGAGCCTTGTGGCATACTGTTTCCTGGGGTCCTGGCTTTGTTCCTTTCTGTCCTGGAGGTGACAGATGAGCAGAATGAAGCTCCCCTGTAGGGCAGAACAATCCCTAGGGGCAGGCAGAACTCTAGGGTGGTAGCGCAGCAGGTAAGTCCTCTGTGGTTAAGAATGTGAGTGCAAGTGCTACCATTAATCAAAGTGTCACTACTAACAACGTTTTAGGTATGCTGACTTTTAGCAGTTGAAACATAAAAGAAATTGTGAAGACATTTTGAAGTGCCTGTAGGTCTGACATTCTCCTGCCTACAGCGCTCACATACCACTCTGAATTTGGTCAGTAATGTAATGGTCTTTTTTGTTTAGTCCAGAAAAAGCAGAATTCATGAAGGACTGTGAAAGTTCATACTCCAGCTGGAAGTTTTCCGGAGGCTTTCGAACTTGGGTCAAGATGTCCTTGGTGAAAACAAAAGAAGAAGATGGTAGTGAGACCGTTGAATTCAAACAAGAGGTAAAAAAAAAATCCCCAGGAAGAATTTTTGGGACCTCTTAGTTTATTACGACCTGGTTACTTCTATGGTTTTAATGATAATTGGCCAACATAACCAGTTCTTGGGGCAAATAGCAATATGAGCTGGAAGAAGGGTGGGTAGGTTGGTCAATTGTTTAAGTAAGTGAAACATCAGGAGCTTGTTTTTTGTTTCATTGCATCCATTACGCTACTTGCCACTGAGGAGTTTTGGCTGTACAGTTACTGGCATTCTTTCTTAACATGGGGAGGTTCTGTAAAAGGATAAATGTCTTGATGTGCGCAGCTGCTGGTATGGCCTAGTGACACATCTCAGGAAAACATCTCCTAATGGGGAGGACAGAAAATCCAGGCCTTGAATGTGTTATAAATGATAGCTGTAGTCTGAGGGTAAGGGTCCAAAAAGACCAACATAGAAATACTAACACAGCTACCTTTAGTTCAAGGTGGGGAACAACTGCCAAAGAAATTGTCTAAATAATAGCTAGTATTGGAAAGAAGTATTGTTTAGGTTACTACAAGAGCTGATGTTAGGATGAAGAGGTAAACATAAGCCTTGTATCCTTTGTAGCATTCTCATGTCTGCTTTTTGTTTGGGTTTGAGATTTTTATCTGTTGAGTATCCTTAGAAACAAGGAGTAACAACTTCTTGCATCATTTAAAACTAGAAAATATGCAGGTGGAAGATGCAGACTTAGCTAGAGATGAAATGAGTTTGACTTTTGTTCCTGTTCTGTTCATACTAATGGACAGGAGAATAACTGTGTTTTGAGTTTGTTATCTTGCTCCCAGTGTTGGTTCGGGAGAAAGAGTCTCATTGGTGATGAGAAATGAGAATTTGAAGAGTAGTCCTTTTCAGAGAGTATGTGTTTCAGAGACAACACTGTCTCTTAGTCTATGGTACACTTGGAAAGAGTACTTTGTGGAGATTAAAATGAAGCAGAATCTTCAGTTCTCCTATCTTTAGTTCTCACAGATAGGGCCTTATGTGACAGAGCCTTAAGGGAAGACCAGAGCTGTGACTGTGAGGTGGGTACCCTCCTGCTCCACTGGAGGAAGACAAGAGGCAAATCCCAAAGTCATGCAAGTCCCAAACTAATGCCTTAGTTTGGAGAGGAAAGGATGCATCAGTCAGCTGCTGCTATGTAAGCACTGAGAGCAGTTGTCTGTCTGTCCTTCATCACCTACAGCTCTGTATCGCTTGCCATTTGGTACTTACCTAGTGTAGGATTTTTGGAAGTCCTCCTTTGTGTGCCCAAGTCCAACACGTCACAAAGTGGAAACAAAAGGCCGACTCAAACTCAGAAAAAGCTGAGCTCTTTGTGACCATAAACATCCATTTAGTCCAGTAGTTAGGGACTGATCATCTGGGTAGGTGAATGCTATGTGGGGTGTTTTTTGTAAAAAACAAACTAGGAAAGAGGAATCAGTACAAATGTGAATTACAGGTTTCCGATCCCCATTAATAATACAGTAGAAGTTAAAATAGCTCAGACGTTAATTGCACTTGCTTTGTTTGACAGTACATCTGCTCAAATTGCACAAGGAAGTCCATTAGCCTTTCAAATCTAAAACTGGGAGATGGCATACCAGAAAGATGGATACAAATAATTATGTCAAATAGCACAGTCAGTCTGCTAACTAGCCCAGTAGTCATTACTTTGTCTTTTCTTCCTTTCCCATTGCCTTCCTTTGGCTTTGTGTACTGCTTGTTTCCTGGTGTTTAGTTTTCCTGAATGAGTGTAGTTCGGGTCATGGTACGCTACAATAATTAAATGAGCTGTAGAAGTATAGGGTAAGTCTGCAGCAAAGCTGTTTGACCAGAAAACATGAGGTGGTGAAGTGCCCATATGCTTTGAATAGAAACACATACAGTATTCCAGCTCCCACTTCTATGTGTTCACAGCCTAAAATCTGGTCAGGGCAGGGTGTGTAGGTGTGTGGAGAAGGCCGATAGAAATCTTGAAGTATTTGTAAAGAAACTAAGCCATGGTAGATGGAAAGTTTTTGTAGTAGGTCATCACTCATGTAATGTATGCTGAACCACTGTTTTCATACCTATAGTTCCTGTCGTAACCCTGAAATGAAGTTACGGTACTGCTGGATTAATTGTTTCCAGTACAGTATTAAACTAATGTAGGAGGAGCAGCAGTACTCCTGTGTGCACACACCAAGATGTAAATATTCCTTTGAGGGTTGGAGGCGGGAGCAGTCCTTCTACTGTTTGTTCAGCTGTAACTCCAGGGTGCTGCCCTGTTAGGTAACTGCCTGGCTCCTGAGCAGTTTATATTGTCTCCTAGTGGCAGGGGGGTTAGTGCAAACTGCGTTGTTACTGCCTGTGTACAAACTCTGTGTAGTTCCCTGTGTAGTTCCCTTCTGGGCTGTGGGGTGTGTTACAAGACAAGATAAATGTTTTTCCCGAGGCCTCATGTCTTAATACTCTCCTGACCGTAGTTCTTAAAGACTGTGGTTTCATGTGGCTGTGACATCCATTTGGTATCTAAAACTGTACCCTGGCTATCCCAGCTCTGTGGAACTGTGCTAAACCGCTCTGCTGGTCAGCCGCTCTGCTGGTCAGCACTAGTTTCAAATGGTAACCTAGTTAATGGGCAATACTGGGAAGTATGGGTTTAATTGTTAACATCTAGACTTCTTTCCCTTCCATGTTCATTCTGCACTTTCTGGCATCTTTTAGTTTATTCTACAACTGATTTTTCAAAAAAAAAAAAAAAAGTCTTCCTGCCACCATCATGTAGTTCTCTGGTAAATAAAAGTAATTTAGCATTCATTCACAAGAAGTTTCCAAATGCTGTATTACTCCAAGCAAATGAATCTTGCAAATGAAATTTCACCCCTTGAAAGGGAAAAACTATGTAATAAAATAAAGGCGCTGGCTACCAGTGTAAAAATGGTATTGCAGTGTGAAGTCAGAAATAGGAAAAGAATATGAACGTGAGACAGATGCAGGAAACTGCCTTTTCCATATTTTGGGAGCCTCTTGTTCCAGCTAGAGGAAAGCTGAACTGGAAGTTCCTAAACAATCTTCTGCTTTCACCTTCCTACAAGCCTTTTCTGTTGCACAGAAGACTCATCACACCACTGAAGAAAGTAACCTGCACTTTTTTTCCTTTCTCTCCAGACTAGTGTGGTTAACTATATTGACCAGCGAACTAAACCAGGAAGTGACCAGCTGTTTTTTGTGGTATTCGAATGGAAAGATCCTTTTATACAGACTGTTCAAGATGTGAGTAACATGCTAGTCCTTTTTGAAATGTTGTCTGACTGTACATGCTGATGGTTTGTGTGTGTGTGCGCACGCGTACATGTGCCTCTACCTCACTCCAAGCAGAAATTCAGAGGAACAGTGAGGTTACTTCTGAAATTTCAGTCCCATGTTCTTCCTTATATCCCGTAATGCATGTTCTGGGGAGGTCAAGACCATGTGATGCCTTTCCTTGGCTTGGTGACACTCAGCATTCTGTTTGCAGCTAGAGGTACATGTAGCTAAGAAAAAGCATCTCTCCCCTTGTGCTCCAGCAAAGTGTAGCTTCAGGTCAAGTCTGAACTTTTTGCTTAAATAAGTGTACTTGCATAAGCCGATTTAATGACTTCTTTTATTAATTGTCAAGCAAGAAGCCTAGACTTAAATTAGAATAATAAAAATAAATAGACTAGTGTATTTTTTTATTTCTTATTCAAATAGAATTTGGTACTGCATTGAAAAGCAGAAAAAGCACTTTAAAATTTAGCTCAGTATGCTGCAGCTAGAGGTGTATGATGTGCCAGACAAGATCGCTATCAGTCACTGGAGTGCTTAAAGGGTATGCAGGTGTGTGCTGCAGGCACATGTGCTTTAAGTGTGTGAGCTAGATATTGTTTTCCGAGTGTTCTAGGGGAGCAGGTCAGACGCATTTACCCTCCCCAGAAAGATGTGGAGTGGCGAAGTGCGCAAAGAGAATCTGTTTAAAATTTTGCATTTAAAATGGCCCTATCTGGCAATCAAAGCCCGTCACCATCAAAACCCAGAGTTCTTGTTTTCCTGTCCAAAGGCAGAGTGTGATTGCAGACGGTGCGGGGCAGGATTGGGTAGTTGGTCCTTTGCACTCTTGCTGTCCTGTCTGTGCGGAGGCCGGGCACTCTCCTCAGTGCAGGTGCCTCCCTGGCCTCGAGAGCCCAGTCCTGTTCCCAGCACCTCTCGGCCAGATGGGGTTCACACCTCCGCTGCCTTCACGCTGAAAGCTGCCCTTGATCCAGTGGATTAGGGGTGCTTGTTTCCTCTTGCTGAAGAGGCCATAGTTCACAAGCACTGGCAGCCAGCGCTGCTGCTTTTAGGAGGATTAACAAATACGGAAAGCCTGTTTAAGACCTTCTGGCTCTGGTGATGACTAGCAGCACTGTGCTCATGCTGACTGTCAGAGCTGCAGACTCCAGGGTGAGTCCCAAAGTTGCGTGCTACTTTATTGCTGCCTAAGCCTAGCTCTGCTTGCTTCATCTGAAATCCTCCAAGTCATCCTTGTGCCCAGAGGTGTGAGGAGAATTGCAAACTATAAACAAACTTAACTACTCTTGAACCAAATGTCGTTAGAAATAGAACCATAACATACTTGCTGTAGGTTTGCAGAAACAGTTGCTGTTGTCAAAATCTGGCTAGTATTACAATGCTGTCTTGTTAAAGACTTCCAGTAGTTGCTTCTTTTAGCTTTGTCTTCTGGAAGATCTTCAATGTGACCGCTTATTTTTGTAAATCTTTAAATGCTATAGTAAGTTTAATCCTTAATCTTAAAATTTGCAATTTAACTGTTCTCTACATTTTTAAACAATTCATCATCTAAAAGGAATTTAGCAGCTGGTACAGTGTGTTTTCTTCCTGATGGCAGGAATCAGAAAAAACATGGTGTGAGGCAGATGTATGGAGAAGGCACTGCAAAACACTTCACTTCTTTGAAAAATGGCATTGTTTGTTATTGAATAGGTATAATATCCGCTAAGTCATATACATTTTTATATGGGGTTTATGGGGAATAACATTTTTAATCTCTTTCAGATAATCACAGCAAATCCCTGGAACATGATTGCTCTTCTTTGTGGTATCTTTTTGGCTCTGTTTAAGGCAGCAGACTTTGCTAAGTTAAGTGTTAAGTGGATGATCAAAATACGAAAGAGACATCTGAAGAGGAGGAGTCAAGTAATGAACCACATAAACTGAGACTAAGACTGCCTTTTAACTATTCATAGCAGAAGGGATAGAAAATAACTGGAATTAACTTTGATCGGCAATGCAGCAATTAAAGATGCAAAACAGGTATGTTTTCTTCAAGAAAAACAATGGCTGAAGGAACAGCCTAGTGAACTGGCCTTTGACCTTCAGAAAAGAGCTAACTTTAGGACAGGTCTAACAAACTCATGCTTTTCTACTCCAAACTTAACAAGCTTTTACCTCAATATAGGGTGGGACCAAGGGGAAAGCCGAGAATCACTAATGTTCAGAAAGTCAACACTGTAGTGGTTAAGTTCTAAAAAAAATGGACAGTGTTTGAATGCTTCTCTGAACAGGAGACCATTTAACTTCAGCATGAGCTGTGACCTGCATCTGCTACTGTAACGCAGTTACTTCCTTGTCTGCGTTTGGTGGAAGGTAAAGCACTCAACAAAACAGTCTGGCCTCCCCTCTCCAAAGTACGTGTTAAAACAAAATACACTGGAATTCTATTATGTGTCAGTTTTGATTTAAAGTATATTGACTTTAATATTAAAAAATACTTCAAATAAGATACTGTGTATATTCTCTGAAACTACCTGCTCTCAGCTTCAGCTGGGGTTTTACAGGCAGTAGTCCAGGCGGAGGTACTACAGCAAGAAGATTACATAAAACCCAAAAATTTATTCCTAATCAGGAGACTGCAACAACTCAATACCTGGGCACCTGAGCTGATGGCAGGTTTCAAAGTCTAAGTCTCAGGCTGTTGCTCTTCCCTCTTTCCCCCAGTCTTTGCTAAGGAACCGAAAAACAGTCTTTCATCAGCCTGGCATTTAAATGTGATTCTCTATTATATAGAGAATGCGTGCTAACTAACTGTGCTGTGGTGGTGTAGGCTTTTCTTCCTTATAAGTCCCTTGTTAGTCTAGATGCTGAACTTGGAGTTGTGGAGGCTACAGGGCAGCAGTGCACCACTCTGCGTTTGCTCTGAAGGCTTTGTTGGAAGGAAAGGAGCACACCAAGTCATATTTTGCTTCCTCCATCCTCTACTAATGAGGTATTAATATAGTAGTAAATGTATCAAAAGTACCCCCTCATATTGTTTTTTTTACCTTCTAAGGAAGTGTTTTGGAACAAAATTTATTACTTTCAACTGATTTCCAAAGCAAATCAAGATACTGCACTGCACAAACACAGCCTTAAACAACACAGCAACAATTTACTGTAAGAAAAACAAACCACAGGTTCCCCTCTGTCAAGACAGGTGAGGGCAGGAGGAGGTTACAGCCGATCAGTCACTTGCAATTACCGCTCTTACCTCTTCCGCAGGTCCTGTGTTGGCACTTCCAACAGTTCATAATTTGAATGGTTTAGTCTGAGCTAACTTGGTCACACTCTTCTGGGGGAAAAAAACCCCTTTGTATACAAGAACAGATGGTGTTCAGCCAATGCTTTATCTTCAGTATCTTGCAGTGGTGGCTCTCGAACAGGCCCAGCAGGGCCAATATTGTACCTGTCTCAGGTGAGGTAGATTAGCATCGTACACAGTAAGTGAAGGAGGTAAGAGGAGAGGGGAGTAGCAAAGGCCAAACATGGCACTGTTGAAGCACTGTTTCAGAGCTACTTCATCCTTAGGTTGCTGGTGTGGTGGGGAAACTTGGGCAGGGCAGAGAGCAGGTAATAGGGAAGAGGAAGAAAAATGAAAACCGCCACACTTAGGCCATCTGCATCAAGAAAAACCCTTTGGTGTTGCTACATAACAGCCTATGCTGGTAGGAAAGCATTCCACTGACGTGCCTGCTCAGCTTACAGCCCTTTGCTTTCCCACTGCTGAGGGCCTCTTCTACAGGTAAGACAGAGACAAGTGAGCTTTCTTAATTCCTCACTGTGAAAGAAACACCCAAGGATTCCTTTAACAAATGATATTACAGCAGGTATTTCTTGGATTTTACAAAAGTGTTTTGAAACAACAGTTTGATCCTACTGCATTTTTTGTTCTGTTTTTGCAAATTGGGTCAGAGAAGGTAAGTTGGAAGGCAGCTTAGCCCCATCTCTGGGGTAAGTAGGAGGTGTGGTTAAATAAAGGATGCTCTCCTTTCTGCAATATTTAATGTACTTTTTTTAAAAATAAATTCCCAGAGTAGTCAGCTTCAGTGACTACGTCGCAGCTATCAAGATCTTTTGTTTTATAAGGAAATGTTGTTCCTCGAGCAGGCCAGCTGATTCCAGCCAAGAAACCTTTCTTTTATGTACCTATTTATAGGAGTGATTCTAATAGGAAGTGTTGCATAATTTGTGTGAAATGGCCTCTTATAGCTACTGTGTTGTTCTTCTAATACTTACTCTTGATGCCCATATTTGTAAATTTAACAACTCATAACAATTACAAATGCTAGTACTTTATGCTGTGTACCACTGCAAGGTTAAGATTCCCTAACTTCCCTATAATTTATTTCCTTTACACTGCAGAACAGCTGAAAGTATTTTATATCTCAAATTGAGATTTTATTCTTCCATGGGAAAAAGGTACTAAAGAACTAAACTGAGGTGAACCAAGGTAAACAGTGTCTGCCTGATGGTCGTCTCCCTCCAGAGCTGGCAAAGTGCACCCTTACAGGCCCCACAGTGTTTAACGTCTGGCTTCAGGACTTCAAGCAGCACTATGAAAAGTAAAGGATTCTCTTCCTCCCCAAATTTTGGGCTGCCACCTACTATGGCAGAACCTACTTTAGTCAGCTGATTATGTAGTCTTTTTATATAAAATCTGACATGTAGAGAGGAGCGACTAATTGGTTTTGATTGGACAGCACTGTTACAAGCATACACCACTTCAGGCAGCGCGTTATTCCCGTTTCCTTTGTGAAACATAACTTCTTGGAGACAAAAATGAACTAACAATAGCAGTATAATAAAAATCAACTCAAACAGCAGAGTAGAAACTTTTTCCCCCTGGAAACTGCTTGAAAACCAGCCAAGCGATAGGTAAAAAGCCCAGGACACCTGCCTTGGCTGTTCTCACCACCATGGAGCAGAACAAAGCCTTCCACCCTACCCGTAAAAATGAAACCACAGTGGCCTGTGCCTCCAACACTTTTGCCACTCAGTGAAAAACCACAGGTTAGTCAGACATGTGCAGTTAAAAGGCTGTATGTAAAAACCATTTTCATTCTCCTGGTCTTTATAAACACAAAGATGTGATATACAGCACTAAATACAAACATAAAGACTTTATTGAATGCTGCTCAATTCCCCAAAGATCTTTCATTACAAAAGTTTTCCACACAACTGCAATTTAAGAGATTGGAATGGTACTCTGATAAAAGATGTGAAAAAATACTTGATCAAGTAAACAGACAAGACTTCTATTGTCAGCTTTCCACTTTTAAGAAACAGACTGCATTTTCTTTAAATAAAACAAGGAACTATTTATTGACATCCTTCCCTCCTTACTGAAAAAAAAAAAGGCAATCCCAATTTTGGTCTCATTCTTCAGTTCATGAGATGCTAAAACGAATGCAGAAACACCCAAGATGGTCTCTCAGTGACCTGCACTACTCTGCAGGGCGTCCTTGGGCTGATGAGGAGCATCATCGATGGGCTCTCTGGAGGAAGCTCCATCCTCAGCTGTAGCAGGAGGAAATCTGTAAGTAGCCCAGGACCAAGAGGCAGCAAGAGTGGGGCAGAGGCACTCCCCGAGTGGCAGGTCAGACGCACAGACCACCCCAGCCTGTTCAAGCTGACTTTCGCTCCCTACTTTGCCTCATTCCAATGTGAACCTTAGATAAATCCAACTCTAAATCCAATCGGGAATTCAAGGACAGCACCACCTCCAAGTTCCTTTCAATGCTGTAAGGGGTACATACTGAATATCTCAGGTTACTGGTAACGTACCTTGGTTTTATTTGAGAAAATACAGCACAACTAGAAGCCTTTTCTATCATCTTAACCAAAGTATGCAGCGATGTGAAAAGCACATATAAAACAAGGAAAAAAATGTACATAGCAAACTATACCACCTATGTGCAACACGATCAAAAATTCAAGTCATAATTCTCACCACTCCCATAATTATTTCACTCATTAAGGATGATAATTCAGTTCTATGAAACATTGGAAGTGACAGTATATCAATAATTAGACAAATTTACAATATGCTGTGGTAATGACATCACTTAACTGCTGTATTTAAATTCAAATCTTTACATTTGCCAGAGAAAAAATTGGCTGTTTCTATTATACTGATGAGGTTTCTTTTGCAAATCCTTATGTATTTCAAAAGGGTACAAAAAAGTATGTCTTCCGAGTAGAGGTGGTCATTTCTTTTATTTGGCACTTGTATTGTGTGCATTTAGCACATTGTGAGTGCTGTTCTGCTTTTCTGCCATAGCTTTCTTAAGCTTTAACTCCTCTAGCTTTCTCCACAACTCTTCACGTTCCAATTCTTTCTTTTTCTCTCTGTGGAAAAGAGTGAAGTACCACTTTCAGACATGTTTTAAGTACAACACGGAGATGCAGTTACTTAACTACTGTGATTCACATCTAGCAACTCCTCTTGTAGGTTTTTCTCCAAAGCTATTTTTAGAGGCAATTACGGTTTCCTCTGTTAAAAAGTGAGCGTACAAGTTGGTAACGGTTAGTGGTAAAACTAACTTCACTCCAACAAATTCGGACAATTGCTGTAGTGTGGCTTTGCCCAGATGACTGCAATTCTAAGGATGTTCTCTATCACGTGCCAACAGATTAAGGGACTGAGCATCTTTGGGGGAGAAAAGCATAACTACTGAAAGGAGACTTAGCATGTGGGCTCAGCTGGTCCAGGATAATGTACACACCGCCTCCCTTACTCCAACAGCACTGCTTAGTAGGTTAGCAGGATAAGAGAGGTTTTGGCTGAGCTATGAAGTATTCTCCAGTTCCGCTTTCTTCAGACAGCACCCCCGAAGCAGCAGAGCCAGCACCAGTGGCCACTTGCAGCAGCAGCTGAGCCCAGTTTTACCCCACAGGAGAGCACGCTCCCTGCCCACACGCTCCTTGCCCAGGCAGGACAGGGAGCTGGAGCCTTCCTGCCGCCTCCCCGGGCTTCAGCTCCCGCCACACCACTGACACGCACCTGCGAGGGTGCTTCTTGCTCAAGTGACACCCAGCAGCAAATATCTGATGAGCAGTTTCACTGCAGAGCAATTCTGCTACTGAACCCCATAGCTGCAGGAGTAAGTTTTGTTTCTTTTCAGCTGTATTAATCAACACGCATTTGGAAGAATATTCAGTACCTTTGCCTTTCTGCTTTATATGAGCTTGTAAGTTCATCAAAAAGCTTGCCATTCATTTCCATCAGGGTTTTCAGCACATTATATACCAGTGCCACAATAGTTCTAGAACAGAAGGAACACAACCATTACAATTACTCAACACAAAATTAATTTCAGTAAACAAGTGTTCAATTTCTTTTTTGGACTTCGAGCTTCTTATTTAAGATACTACTGTAAGGTCAGTGAGTTTCTGAAACAAAATCCTTTACTGTAATTTCCTCTAAATTAAACCGCATATTTAAACATTTTTTGAAATGGCTCTTTAATCTTAAATCCCCGACTTGTAATTGCTTAGGATATAATTATTAGTACTGTGGCTGTACTGTAAAGCTATTCAGTTATGTTAACTTTTAATCAAGTTTTAGCTATAATTTTGTAGTATTTGAGTAATGAAATGTAAGAGTCTAGAAAAATAAACTTCTGGCTAATAGTTTCAAGACTGGGCAAAAGAACATAGCAGAGGAACCACAGGCACATGGTTTACTACAGCTACTTAGAGTTCTACCAGAAGTGTTTCTGGGCAGCAGATAGCTTTGCTGCATACTGCCCATTAGAGAACTGAACCGAGAACATCAGCTAATGGTTTCCAGTACCTTAGGACCTTTAAGAAGCTGAACAGCTTGAGCAATACTGGCTGTGTCTTACACGGCTGTCCCTATTTCCACATTAGGTATTATTCTTCCTTTTGTGAAGGCATTCATACTTCAATAAGTTATCTTAAATATTATATTGTGTCTCTCCTTTAAGCCCACTCTTAATTATACACAGAAAAGCAAAAACAGCAATAAAATTAAACATTAAGAAGGTGCCTATCATTAAGTTTAGCACTAATCAAAAAGGTAGGTAAACTGTCTTCCCCATCCTTCCCGTCGCTAGCAGTTCACCTTCACACAGCAGTATTGACTGTAAGGTTGCAGAGCAGGGGTGCCGTGCAGTCTTGGGACCTTGAAAAATGAGTGAAAGGACAATCTAAGGCAGTAACCAAAGGAGCAGGTTTGCCTTTTCAGGACACTGTCCGCTGTGGCACGAGGCATCAGAGGCCCCTACGCTCACTCAAAACACACAATACGCTTAGCCTGTCCGCACACTTCTCTTTTTTGAACACTGGCTTTCATGGGGTTTGAAGACAAAAAACTTATTCGGGGTTTTGGTTTCCTGAGAGGAACAGCCTGATTTTGAGCAAGTAGTTAAGTCCATATCAGACAGCTGGATGGATATAAGCACATTTCTCTGCCCTCAAAAACAGGCTAACACCAAGACTTTCTTCCCCAAACTTCCTGTTCCTCAAGGTATACAGTTATCCTGTGTCTTTCACTTCCTTCATAAAGAACAACTTCTGTCTGCAGCTAAAAAAATTTGTTGAGCTCCCAAGTAACTACCAATGCTCCAAGAACTAGTTCTCCAAAATTTATATTCAGTCTCAGCTGATACACTTCCAACTAGACACGCCATCTAGATAAATTCAGAATGATTTCAGAGCCTCTAAGGGCTTAAAACAGGGCATCTGACTTCAAAGTTGCAGAAGGCTCCTGCCTCCCCTGGCTTTTGCCTGTACGAGATTTACATTCTGCAAACTGACTTGCAACTCAATGCAGGGTGCTGGACACAAGCAAACTTTGCTTTTTAGTATTTCTATGCAATTACCGTGTCTTTCAAATGTGATATAAAAATACTAACATGTGGCATTAAATATAAAATAAAGTAGTTGCTCATTTCTCATTCCTACCATCCTTTATAGTGGTAGGTATTGCTCTTCTCTGATAGCATCTTTCCCCTTCTTATCTCACTGGGCAGCAATAACTACTGATAAAGACACTGATCTAATTTTGTTCATCTAAAGTAGTAAAGGACAGCAAAGCATAAAAGCATCCCATGGAAATTGTTTTGCTCTAAGTATTAATTTGCAGTTTTAACTAACACATAAGATCAAACGTGATTACACTATCAAGACCATCATCCAGTTTCCTCGTACTTTTTCAGTAAATTCCAGTTCTCCATCACAGCAATGCAGAACAGCATGATAGAGCTGAAAATTACAGCCATTTTAGCACCCGTAATCTCATTGATTTCATCTGATTTAAGTAAAAATGAAGTCACATTTACAATCCAAACATGAAACAGTGGACAATTTATTTATGGTACTATAGATAAACATTACATACGGATTCCAGTGTTCTTTGGAGATCTTGTATAAACTGCCAAACATAATTGGTAGAATTTTATCAATGTTCTCCTCAATCAGGCTAAGAATATATTCATTATTCCAGAAGTACAAAGCTCTTTCTGCAACCTGAAACACAAAGTTCAGGGGTCAACAACCACAACATATATTGCTACAAGTTTGGGGGGTGGGGGGTGGTGTATGCTTTTTTTTTTT